AGAAAAAGCATGTTTTATAGAAAATGACTAATAAGAAAGAACACTAGCAAACACTCAGAGACAAGAATGCATTCTAGTCTGAGTAGCAAATTAATGTGAGAAAGAATGAAAAGCCCATGTCAACTCACACCACAGTCCTCCCATTGAGCAAATATTTCACCTCAAATACATTTTTTAAAACTCTTCAGGGTATAAAAAATAATAATTTGGAATTCAAATCAAAGCACTCCTTGGTTAACACTTCAAGTTGAGTATCAGCAAGAAAATCTCTTGAAGCATTTTAGTAATTGCTAAATTTCTCATCCTATCTATACTGTCATTTTTTTTCTTTTTTTTGAGACAGAGTCTCACTATATCACACTAGGTAGAGTGCTGTGGTGTCACAGCTCACAGCAACCTCAAACTCTTGGGTGTAAGCGATTCTCTTGCCTCAGCCTCCCAAGTAGCTGGGACTAAAGGTGCCCACCACAACACCCAGATGATTTTGTTGTAGTTGTCACTGTGGTTTGGCAGGCCCAGGTGGGGTTTGAACTCGCCAGCTCTGGTGTATGTGGCCAGTGCCCTCGCTGCTGAGCTAAGGCACCGAACCTATACTGTCATTCTAAATGTGTGACTGTCCCACACTTTTGGCTGCCAACAAACCACCTCCACCTTTTATCAATCCTCTCCAAACACCATCTCAGACCTAAACCCAACTTTCTCAGACAAAGTAGATATTCTCAACTACCCTATCTTCCCCAAATCAGTTTAGTAATTAACCTTTCTCCAGACTAGCAAAAATATCAAAAAGGAACCAATGCAGGCAACACTGTGCACCATGTGAGAAAGGTCACCTTATAGCCTCTCCCTGCACAGTCAAGTGCCCAGTTCCCTGAAGTTTATTAAAACTATCAAACCACAAAGTTCAACAGAGACTTGCATCATTTAATGCAATATATAGACTGTATTTGTCTGTTTTTAAATAACATCCTTGAGTGATCACCTAAGACAATGAGGGCTGAATAAGATTATAAACACTCTCTTGGATAACAGAAAGAATAATTACATACAAATGTTTAGATGCCTCTGAGTTATACAATCAAGCCTGTTAAAAGGGCAGCGCCTGTGGTTCAGTGAGTAGGGCGCTGGCCCCATATACCGAGGGTGGTGGGTTCAAACCCCATCTTGGCCAAGTCAAAAAAATAGCTGGGTGTCGTGGTGGGTGCCTGTAGCTCCAACTACTTGGGAAGCTGAGGCAAGAGAATCACCTAAGCCCAAAAACTAGAGGTTGCTGTGAGCTGTGATGCCACAGCACTCTACCGAGGGTGACAAAGTAAGACTGTCTCAAAAAAAAAAAAGCCTGTGAAAACTTCTGCAATGAAGTCACATAATTTTTTCTATTAATAACTTGTATTTGTTCTTATTCTTCCTCCTAGTTCTGAAAACTTTAAACATGAATTTGCAACAACCTGACCATATCCTTTCTCTTTTAAATAATTTTCCAATAGGGCTACTATTACTTGAAGAATGGTAGAGTCCTTATCAAAATCCCACTCCCCAAAGTCTAATGGTTCAAAATCTCCCAGGTATGGCTTGGCGCCTATGGCTCAAGTGGCTAAGGCACCAATCACATACACCTAAGGTGGTGGGTTCGAATCCAACCTGGGCCCACCAAACAATAATGATGGCTGCAACCAAAAAATAGCCAGGCGTTGTGGTCCCAGCTACTTGAGAGGCTGAGGCAGGAGACTCACTTGAGCCCAGGAGTTGGAGGTTGCTGTAAGCTGTGATGCCACGGCACTCTACCCAAGGGGACAGCTTGAAGCTGTCTCGAAAAAAAAAAAAAAAACTCCCCCAGGTAACCAAAATCCCTGGAGACTTTTGTCCAATTTAACAAATGTATATAGATATTGTTTTCAAATACAAACTCCCTAATTAAATAACAAATGCTACATACTGAAAGAAAAATACCTGGCCATAAGAAAGCTGTACCATTTACTGATTATGTGTTCTTTTACTTTCATTTAAATCTTTCTGAAATATTGATTATCAGCCAAATAATTCCAAATAGTAAAATTTTGGGAAGTTAGCAGAAAAAAAAATTTTTTTGAGACAGAACCTCAAGCTGTCGCCCTGGTAGAGTGCCGTGGTATCACAGCTCACAGCAACCTCCAACTCCTGGGCTCAAGCGATTCTCCTGCCTCCCCCTCCCAAGTAGCTGGGACCACAGGCGCCCGCCACAATGCTTGGCTATTTTTTTGGTTGCAGCTGACATTGTTGTTTGGTGGGCTCAGGCTATATTCAAACCCTCCAGCTCAGGTATATGTGGCTGGGGCCTTAGCCACTTGAGCCACAGGAGCCAAGCCTATATTTGTTAACTCTAATGTTAACATAACATGAACTCATAAAACCAATGAAGTTTAGACAGTTCATCTTTTTTACAGACTTTAGTGTCAAATAATACCCGCTGCTATGCCACCATTCTATAGCTAAGCCAGGTTAGTTATAACTGTGAAAGCAAAAGTGCCTTCTAGAACAGTAAGATAATGCACAAGCACAGTATTTTTAAAGAGAAAAGGAGCCTGTAAAGAAACATATCAAAAAGAGGAAATTTCCTTTTATGGATAATCTGTTTCTCATTTTCTATCTCTTTAGTTGCATTTCTTATTAAAGATTTAATAAATTTAAATTAAATAATCTGATAATGCAAAAGCCAAGAAATCTAAAAAGACCTACACAAAGAAGCAGTGAATCAGTAATATCAATAGCTAAATCATCAATTACTCTCTTCGCTAATGAGGCTGTGAATCTTGGATGGAGTGACCAATCCAGCTTAGCGACTCGCCATCTTAGACAGAGAAAGACAGAATTATTAACAAAATCATTTCAAAAAGAAAAGCTTTGAACTTTGTGGACTATCCCCCATACATCCCTACCACAGGGTTAGAATGTTCCAAACTTTTATCACTTTTATCACACAGATGTCCTTGTGGTTAAAAAAAAAATATGTATATATATATATATATACACACACACACACACACACACACATATATACATATTCAGACCTTTGTTAGGAACTAACAAAATAAGAATTCACTTATAACATCTAACTCTTCCTTTACCTGTAGAAACAAGACAGAGTACAAGTACATAGTAAAAGACATTTGGGAAGGATAAACAAATTGTTATAGTACTTGCTTTAGGAAAGAACTTAAAAAATCAACTTTCCTAGACAGAGGTATATTATAAAAAGGTATCTTAATCATGCTATGCTGAGATAAAAAAAAAATAATAAATCACACCTAACATAATTTTTGGTTATATTTGTTGCTTCCATAGTTAGAGCTTTAATGATTTGATAAACCGGGTGAAATATCCTGCATATATAAATCAAGTTAATTGCTGTCATTTAAAAGGTCGTTAAAGCTTTATATCCACATTCTTAATTTACTGAACTTTAAAAAATCAATTTTCATTCAATTTTCTCAGCAAATTCTAGGCTTTAAGGTACTGATTCATTTACTGACACCATAAATTCTGACTTGTTGGGAAAATTCCTCAATCAGCCTCCAAACCTACTGTCTACAAATATATAGTACTTGTGTTCCAAAAATGGGAAATAACAAATACCATATCCGTGAACATAAGGACTCCCAAGAACTACAGAGCCAAACCTGCAAAGTATTGCCTCAACTGAAGTGACCTGGTGACTAAGAAGTCTCCCAGTTCAGAGTAAGTCAGTCTAGAAGTAAAAACCCTATGATATAATGCATAAGATCATGGCTAAAATGTTTACATACGTGCTGTCCAGTTTAATTACTAATATTGCCCCCTTTGGTGGCCAAAGGGGTCCTGTTTTGAGGCAAAACTCATTTGTGGTGACAGAAGTTGGAATAGACTTACTTGCCTTAAGGAAGGAGAAGTATGGGAGGGATAAAAAGTAGCCTTTGAAGAGGGCGCCATAAGATGTTCTGTATCTTGATCTGGTGTGATTATCAGGGCATATACACATATAAAAAATCACTGGTTGTGACTTTTTAAAACCTTACTGCAAGTTACACCTCAATTAAAAAAATTTTTTTTCTTTTTTTGAGACAGAGTCTCAAGCTGTCTCCTTGGGTAGAGTGCTGTGGCATCACAGCTCACAGCAACCTCTAACTCTTGGGCTTAAGGTATTCTCTTGCCTCAGCCTCCCAAGTAGCTGGGACTACAGGCACCTGACACAATGCCCAAGCGGTTAGAATCCAGCCCGGGCCCACCAAACAACAATGACGGCTGCAACCAAAAAATAGCTGAGCATTGTGGCAGACGCCTGTAGTCCCAACTTCTTGGGAGGCAAAAGCAGGAGAACTGCTTGAGCCCAAGAGTTGGAAGTTGCTGTGAGCTGTGATGCCACAGTACTCTACCCAGGGTGATAGCTTGAGGCTTTGTCTCAAAAAAAAAAAAAAAAGGAAAGAAAAGAAAAGAAAGAAATAACAAATATAATTGTGCCAGCTATTTTGTTTTTCTTGTCATTGTTTTATAGCTGGCCCAGGGCTGGGTTGGAACCCACCACCCTTGGTGTATGTGGCTAGTGTACTGCCGACTGAGCTACGGGTGCCACCAAGAAAAAAATTTTTAAGCACATTAAAATATATGCTTAAATGTTTCTGTTCAAATAACTTACATAAAATCATTCTGGATATAGCTTCCAAGATGTTTTTCCCAAATGTTTTTTAATAAAGATGCACACATTGTCAACATTTTTATGTAGAACCTTTCAAATTCCAGACCGATTTTTTTAAATCTTTCATTTCAAAAAGTCATTGACTTTTAGAACTGAAAGCTCGCAGAAAGATGATCTATTTGTGCTAATTTTACAAATAAGAAAAATCAACTCTACAAAGTGCAAGAAACATACCCTAGATATGGCAGCAAGTCAATGGCAACGTCCTACCCATTTCCTGACCTTAGTCCCTTCATTTCCACCAAGCACTTACTTTTCTGACACTGCAAACAAATCTTAACTCTGAATCTACCTGTGTCCAGCAGGATTCAACAAATGTCTCAAAACACCAGTTAACAGGCCGCAAAGTGTGTGCATGAAGACACATTCATCTTCCTTCATCGTCTCAAGACAGCTGGCAAGTTAGATTACATGTCCAGGCAGTTCACGTTATATGTAATAAAGTATGACATCTTGAAAACGTGGTTCGAGGGAAGTCATATGCAGGGATTCACAAAATCCATCTTACTTCCTTTCAAGTCCCCTTGATGGTTAGTTGGTTCTCAAAAAACGTATCACTGATAAGTAAGATCACAAAACATCACTCGGGGCCAAGAGCAGCACTGCTTTGAGTCACCTGCTAGGAATAGCCCCTCCAAATAAAAGCCAGTCTTCTGCCCTGAGCGTCCCACACCACCTCTGGAGTATAACACGATCTGGAGGTGACCTGCACTTGACGGCTCCGTTTTAGACCCCACGTGAACAGCTGACATCTTGTGACAAACTTAACATACACCCTTTCCGCAGGAATTTATTTCTCTTCTCTCAAGGCGTTTCTGCACCGTACAGAACAGGCCTTGCTTCCCAGGGCACAGCTCGCCTCTCCAAAGCCTCTTTTTCAGCCTCCAAATCAGACTTTACGAAGAGAAATCGAAACGGTGACGGACCTCCTCGGTGGCAGGTCTGGACCCTGACGAGGTCCGCGGGGGTCGGGCAGCGGTTCCCAGCGAGCTGCGGCGCCGGAGAGGCCCGCTCACTTCGCCGCGGCGGCTCGAAGCCACCGGTTGCGGCAGCCGCTAGATGCCCCGCCACCGCGCGGCGGCCGCCTGGGCCCTCCGAAGTTCCACAGGGCCGCGCGGGCCGAGCGCCCAGCCCTCGCTGCGGGTTCGCGCCCCGCCCGGAGCGAGCCCGGGGGGCGGGTCCGCGGGGGC